CCATAAAGTTCAAGGATCGATTTGATAAGTATTTAGACCCAAGCTTTTTCCAACACAGGATTCATTGGTTCAGTATATTTAATTCTTTTATGATGGTCATTTTCCTTGTTGGACTGGTCAGCATGATATTGATTAGGACTTTAAGGAAGGATTATGCCCGTTACAACCGAGAAGAAGATCTCGATGATATGGAGAAAGACCTTGGTGATGAGTATGGTTGAAAGCAAGTTCATGGTGATGTGTTTCGTCCAGCATCTCATCCAATGCTGTTTTCAGCATTAGTTGGAACTGGTTATCATATAGGCATTGTTGCTACCTGTGTTATCTCATTTGCCATTTTGGGAGAGCTCTACACTGAACGTGGCTCTTTATTGAGCACTGCAATATTTGTCTATGCTGCTACCGCACCTGTAAATGGATACTTTGGTGGCAGCTTGTATGCTCGGATGGGAGGTAAAGTGTGGATTAAGCAGATGATACTCAGTGCCTTCCTGCTTCCTGTACTGGTCTGTGGTACAGCTTTCTTCATCAATTTCATTGCTATTTACTATCATGCATCCAGAGCTATTCCATTTGGTACTATGGTTGCCATCACATGTATTTGTTTATTTGTCATATTGCCCCTGACTTTGGTTGGAACTGTGCTTGGTAGAAACTTGGCTGGCCAGCCTAACTATCCATGTCGCATCAATGCAGTGACACGACCAATACCAGAAAAGAAATGGTTCATGGAGCCAGCAGTAATTATCATCCTTGGTGGAGTGCTTCCTTTTGCTTCCATCTTCATTGAAATGTATTTCATCTTCACATCATTTGGGCCTATAAAATCTACTATGTTTATGGTTTCATGTTGCTTGTATTCCTAATCCTTGCCATTGTGAGCATCTGTGTGACCATAGTGTGTACATACTTCTTGCCCAATGCTGAAGATTATCGATGGCAGTGGACCAGTTTCCTGAGCTCCCGGTATCGAGCAAGACATTTGTAGACGTCCCGTTAATTTTCACTTTTACAATAGTTTTTGAAAGGCAGTCGGGGGAGGCGGCTACAGTTGCAGAAGTATTTTGACGAGTGGATTTGTATAGAGTTTTAGAAGACTTGCATACCTTTGAAAAATGACCAAGTTTTCCACATTTATGACAACGAGTATCTCTGGCAGGGCATGAGACTCGTATGTGTTTAGATAAGCCGCAAAAATAGCAAGTGTCCTTTTTTAAAGCGGCAGTGACCGATTGTTCTTGAAGCTTCGTCGGACTATCGTCATGAGGGGGACAGTAAGAACAGGTGGGTTTAACACGGCGCCCAAGGTGTCTGGCTGTAAATAAGAACTAGACTGCTGTATAGCACTTTCGAAGATATAGGCTTGCTCGTAAGCAGTTCTAAGTGTAAGGGTCTTATTCTCAAGAAGACGTTGTCTTATCCGAGTATTACGTAAGCCGTTAATGAAGGCGTCCAAAATGTGTAGCTCTTGGGCCTCTAATGCCGTCATTGGGCAGAAGTTGCAATCTTTGCTCAGTGTCCGAAGGCTCTTAAGGAAATAGTCCAATGTCTCGCCTGATTCTTGTCGGCGAGTCGCAGGTAGGTGTCTAGAAAATATCTCATTTTTGGGCTTTATGTATGTAGCGTTCAGTACATCGATTGCTTCTTCGTAGGTAACGCAATCCGAGATAATTTCGTTGACTGTGTGAGACAGGTAGTTGGTTAGGAGCGCACGCTTATTGATGGGACGTCCCGGTCTTTCTGAATGTAGAACCTCGATGAAATTTGTAAATGTCTCCCGCCAATGTTTCCAGCACTTGTCGGTTGAATCGCTTTCTGGATCTGTGGTAAGTCGCTCCGGTCGCATAAATTGTTCCATTTTTAATTGAATAAAATGTAATGAAAACAGGACAAGAGATTCTGTCTAGTAATCGTTTATTCAATTAAGAATGCTACTACTAGTCTACCACAGATCTAATGAAGTATCAGCAATGTTATCGGGTCTGTCCTATTATCTCGGTTTCAGCTACAATTTAGTGCCTTTTCAATAAATGGTTTTCTTATAAGTTTTCCTATTAGTTACCATAGCTTTATGAATTAAAATGCAGTACTGGATTGGCCTTGAGGATTCACCATTTGAAATTTGCAATGGGTAGATGTTACCATAATTGCTTTGCTAAATATATCGTCTCTCACACTTCTCGGATGTGGAACTCTTTTAATGCACCTTGCTTCCCTGTGAATTATGATTTCAAAGCATTAAAAGCAATAATAATCGTTATCTTCTGTTTACCAGAATCCTGATATTATATTTTCCTATCTCCGTAACAATGTTTTTACGCACGTTTTTTACATCCCTTGATTCTGAGTGGTTTAATTGCACTGATTCGGGTGAAATCATTTTTAAAAAGATTTATTGTCAGACATTCTATTCAACTTGACACCCGTTAAATTATATAATTTTACGCAAATTAATATCTCACCTTATTTATATTAGCATATTTATTTTTTCCATTATATATATATATATATATATATATATATATATATATATATATATATATATATATGAACATTGAAGTCAATACTCAGGCAATACGACAGGCTGTTTCATGCTAGACACAATCGACAGGCCACGAATGTTGGATTTTTCTCGATTATTTATACATATGGGTTAGTGGTGCATTGTGAGTAATACATTTTGGCGGGAGTGGTTTGTTTATTTATTTGGGTTAATTTATATTATGTGACAATATTTAGCTATGGTAATTGGCTAACTAATTAACCATAGAAATTAAAAACGGGAAATACTTAAGGCGAGAAAGAGCTATATCGAAAGATAGACTGAGCGACATTTAAAAAAAAAATTATTTTATTTACAAAAGAAAGATACTTTTCATGTAAGAAAAAAGCGGGACTGTGATTCTATTAAAATTAATTAATGTCACGCGGTGACGCGCCAATATAAACAGAATTTAGATAGAAAAACAAAGCCGGCCGACGTATGCGGCCGTGGAGAAAATTTGGCTTGCAACCACCCTGGAGAATAGCCATTAATTATCTTCCAGAGATATCGTTTAATTTTGGTTCTTGGGTCTAGCGAAGAGAACCATCTGGTATATATACGAATCTTGATATTAATTCGTTCCTGTTTGCGTCTTGCAAACATTAAGTAACGTTCAGTGTAGATAATTTCTAGAGTCACTCGGGGAAGGGATATACTTTCTGAAAAATGAGAGCGAACATTGTGAGGATAAATAAGAGAAAAGCTCAGCCATATCATTAGGATGGAATTATGATTGTAGCATTCAGGAAAGGATTCATGCAGGCGCCTCGTCTGCAAACTGCTAGTTCTTGGAGAAAAGAGACTTTTAAAATATTTTGGCTTTACATTTGGAACACAGGGGAAATATAAGTGATTCGACTGCGTGAAATTAGCATGGTGAGGCCTAGTTGTATCGAATCTGAATGGGTGGAACTAAAGAATGGAGCTTATTATGCCATGGCAATAGCATTAGATTTGCGATAGGCTTGTGTCATTGCAACCGTGAGGAAGATGCTGCTGAATGGGAAAAAATCATTCACGCTATCAACATTTTACAAAAGTTTTCATGTGAGGATTGAGAAACTCCTTCCTATAGTGATTTTCCAAGCATAGCTTTGATGCGGCACAAGGCCGAATGTAGCGGGCACCAAGTGAGGATCGAAATCACTACTCAGTCTTAATTGTTCTAGCGAGACAAGCTTGTTAATAATTACACTGCATCGAGGTGGCAGATACTTGAATTTCCGCGTTCATTGTGATTTTCCAAGCATAGATTAGATGTAGCACCATATCGAAAGTATGGGGCACTCAGTGAGGATCGAACTCCCTACTCAGTCGTAATTGTTCTAGCTAGACAGGCCTGCTACCCATTACACCGTCTCAAGGAGCCCAAAGAAACTCCTTCCTATATGATAGCAATACTCCATTTGTTTGTTGTATGACAGACGTGGACAAGTGTTTACTGGAATGATAGAATAAGTAAAACGGTTTTTTCTTCATCTTTTTCAATGACGCATGTATGATTTTCACTCGAGGTCTGTAGTGAACACTAAACTTAATAGAAATTTAAAACATGACGCTTCTTTGAAAGTACAACTATTCATCTTAACTGGAGAAAAGTAATTATCAGGCTGTTGATTATGAAACGATAGTATCTGGATGCTGAGATAGTGAAATTCATAATCTAGTTTTCCTCGTTGATCTGTTAGAGATAAGTCCGATGAGAGATTGTCTTCAAGGCTTCAATCAAATTGAATTTGGCATTGAATTCATAAACTGAGTTATCGTCTGCATAACTAGGTAGATAATTAATAGTAAAGCAGTAATATGGCTGGATTAAATTAGAATATAGCCTCGGGAGACGTCTGCAATAATATGTAATTCTTCATACGTTTGGCTATTCACAACTACTTTCATAAACCTACCTAAGAGAAATAGCTCGATTTCGCAAACTCTCCAAGAGACGCCATGTCTAGAGGCATTGGTAAGCAAATATTTATTTCACACTTTGCTAAAAGATTTTGACAATCGGTTGAGTAACAAAGCGAACGTCGTAAGTGGCGTAATGGAGCGAAACCAATACTGTTTGTGTGTGAAAATTGGTCGAAAGCACACACGGGAAAAGGAAAAAAAAAACTATATGCGAATCGAATAAGTCCACTTGGCAAAACAAGTCCACGAATCTCTCCACGTCTCAGTCTCCTCGTCATAAACTGACCTCGAATGAGCAACCGTGCTTTTATGCACCTGATCCAGCCATCGCTCAACCAATTAGCGCCCAGAACCAGCCAATAAAAATGGCTACAGGCGACACCAACACATTTGACAACACGAAGTGCTGCCCGATTCACCTTCAGTCAGAAGCTCGCCGATTCGCTGTCACCACACACCATTGCAAAACATATACGCGACTTTAGCCCTTTTGGGTCGGTGATGTAAGTCTCCGCTACAGTTTCTTTTTTAGTCAAGAAACAAGGGATCTCGAAGATACAATGGGCGTTCGAGGTGTCGAGGTTCACTTAGTCCTGCAATTTGCATCACTTCTCGTTGCTGCCCGCGCATTTCATCGACGGTCGAGCACAGTAATCTGTGTAAAGGGAAAAGACACAGACAATATGCTCACCCAGGCGGTCACGGCGAATCGGCAATAATAACATTCAGACAATATCTATACGCAGAACGTAATGATAATTAATACGAGAGAGTGTAAATTGAAATTATTAAATTGAATATAGCGGATACTATCGGTAAAGATAACAAATCTAATTCAGAAAAGGAATAAACAACTAATATAGTTAAAATTCAGTAATCACACATATGAATTTCTTTATAAATTAAGTTCATGTTTGCAAAGTGAACAGCTAAAAGGGATTCTTTAAGACAACGATTTCATCATTATGTGGAACATCGTTCATGATCGGCAAAACGAAAAATGATATATGCCAACTCTCTGTGCAAGCAGAGGAGAGCAGAAGGAGGATTAAATAACAGATGGAAGAGGATGAAGCTCTATTAATGAATTTAAATGACGTGTGTCGCTAAGCTTTTATAGCCTAATCAGATAGGCTTTCAAAAGATGACACTCACGAGATGAATTCACGTCTGGAGTTAATTTGTCTCTGATCCGTTTGTGTTCACTTATTCATCATTGGATATAAAAACGACGCAAATGTTATCATGAAAAGAAAACCAAATTAAATGAAGCGAAAACTTATTTAAAACTAATAATTGCAAAATAATAAAGAAAGAAAAATGCATAATCTGTTTATATATATAGTAATAATAATCATAATAATAATAATCATAATAATAATAATAATAATAATAATAATAATAGGAACGGGAAAAAAACGCATGACTTCTTTATACATATGGTAATAATAATAATGGAAATGGAAAAAAAATGCATGGCCAGTTTATACATATGGTAATAATGTTAATGTAAAAGGAAACACGCATGTCCTCTTTATACATATGTTAACCGCATACTCTCAGTAAAAAAGATTTGGAGTCTTGACTATGGAGCTTGGATTTACTCTTTATTTTATTAACTCTATACAATTACATTAACTTCAATAATTTCTAATAGCACCGTGTATTTTCTAACATTCAATAAGACAACATGTAGAAAAGGTTGTTAGCAATGCAATGAAATATTAAATGTGTCGGAGCACCGTTTGTGCTTACCCCGAGTATAATGATCCGATATTTGCATGTTTTACTATTTGTTACCAAACATGGTCAAGGAATATAACTTCGCTTTCAAACAAATATTCGTTGTTATTAATTGATATTAATGAAGGTATTAATCCATCTATTCTCGCCGCAGTTATGGGTTAAATATAAAGACAGTTCTTTAGTTTTGGTTGATAAACATTCGTGTCATGGTGACTCGATAAAATAACCCATCTCCCGGACAGTCTGGTATCGTTGTGGGGAGAAATTAGCCCAGGAAATGCCTAGTGTCTGAGAAACTTTCATTCATGTGTAGCCATTCTGCTGTAGGCGGATAAAGCGTTTTGTTTTTAATATTCGTTAAGAATGTTAAAAGAGGTTAATATTAAATGTAACAAAGGATAAGAGAAGGTTATAATTTATTGCTTGACAAAATGATGTCCGTCAAATTATGTGACCTATAATACGTTTAATTTATGTTTATTGCATTTTTATACATATTTTTCTAATTTGTATAACAAAACCTTTAGAGTTTAATTGCTTATTGCAGAAATGATCAATATTTTCACTTTGGCTGCTTTTCTCTGATGATCCTGTACACATTTTATTCGAACACAATTTTCAATTTTAAGCATGTATCTTAAAATATCATTTAATACTAGACTCCTGCTAATTAGAGATTAGTAGCACAGTAAAAGCGCACTTTATATATATATATATATATATATATATATATATAACGATCACTATGTACAAGACTGAAGAGCCACACGATCCAGATGGTTGGAGGGTAAACGATAAGAGGCACAGTTTATGAGAATGTATGCGATAGATAACGTTTAATCCTAGACTTGCACAGCTTAAGATTTCAATGACCGGTTCCTCAAAGTTACGATTTCTGGGAAGAAGGTGGTTGAGTGGATCATGCATCTCACCAATGGAATGCGAATGGAATAAGCGTAGTTCGCTACTGAGTCTTAGCTGTGAAATGGTGGAATAAATGCAGTTTATCTGAAACATTTTCATGGAAATATATATAGATGAGTCAGAGGCTTACATAGTTTCGTCTGTGGGAAGCGTGAAAAACAGTTCACCACCCACAAAATCCGCGTGTTTACTCTTGAACTGTTTCGAGCCTGGAAGTCTAGGAAGCTTCTGCTAATATATAACAACCATACTCCATTTTCCGCCGGATCTGCATCTTGTAAAGTTAGAGAATAGCAGGAGTCAAGTACTTACTGGAGTGATACAGGGAGCGATCCATTTGCCCAACACAGTAGGCCGGGAAGCATATATAAGAGTTACCCTTGACTTCTGGTAGGAGATTAAATCCCAATAGGCACTGAAGTCACCAGGCTCCGCTAAGCGAACACCGACGCCATAGATAAAATATCAGCGTCCGCTCAGTGTTGATTGAGCGTTTTGTGACGTACGGTGACCGTTAATGATTAAGTATAACTCGAGACTTTAATGTTAGGATAAAACAGTGTTTAATAACAACCTCAAATAAATACTTAACAAGCACAAAGAAGTAAAAGTCAACCAAAGTTAACCATTTCAGTGAATACCTTAGTAGTAGCGCGGTTCGGTTTAACGACCGGTAAATCCTAAATCAAACCCCAAATCTTCGCAGCACTATAATTTACACTAATTCGAATGAATAGTTACATCAATAGTCTCTTAGTAATCACCGCAGTCAGTAGCCACAACGCCGCTATTTATATTTAATCATTTCACCCCAAACAAGTGAATAATGATCTCCGAAACAAACAGGTTAATGAGTGCGAAAGTATATAAGAAAAATAAAAATTAAGCATTGACAATAATAAAAGAACGGAATATAATTACTTTTTAAATTTTTGACAGAAGAGAATTGCATTTAAATTTTTGAAGATCAAAATTGATTGGAAAGAAAAAGGCTAGAAGATATTTCCATAGAGATTTCAGAGAAATGCGATGGAAGAAACTATCAACATAGATCCTACGGTTAAATATATACATTTTAAATGTAGAATGACGAGATCTAGCGACCAATCTGGATACTGTGCTTAAATTCGTAAAACCGTGATAGAAAATAGAATAATCTCCATGAATATATTCATAGGAAAGGCACAGGGAAGCTCCTTTACCGGGATGAGAAAATCAGTAAATCCGGGATGCCATGTTAGGAACAAAAACATTGTAGATTATTCTTTTGATTTTATCAAGAATCTCTAAGTATGTACCAGAAGAACAAAACCAAATATGACAGCAAGCCTCAATGCATGAATAAATGGCTGAACTTAAAAAAGCATAAGATAGATTTTGTTGAGAAACATTGTCTAGAACGACTCACTTAACCAACATTTTTTGCAGCAGACCTAAAGATTAATTCAATAAATTCTTTCCACGTCATATGAGCGGAAAATCTTAGCCCGCGAAGGTACAATGATTCATTCTACTGGACGTTTGAATCATTGTTGTTGATGGAAGGGAAAATGATTTTTGTTTGTAGAAATGTAGGATAATACACCCTTTTTCGTGCATACAGAGTAAATGATTAAATAGTTTCGTTCCATTTATTATTTGATGGCTGTCAGTAAAAACATCTTGAAACGTTGTTGTTAAAACTTTCATACCTCAATATGAAATCATCATTATTGCAGAACAGCATTTCAGTATTGATCAGAAGAATAATCAATTTAAAATATTCAAAAAAATATATAGTAGTTTTAGAGTTGGAATTACCATTGAGTTGGTGCATAATTATCAGGCGTTTTCCTAGTTGAGGTATTTGTTAATAAAATTTGTTGTTTTGTCTCCGTTTTTCAAAAAAAAAATCGTTTTTTATTTTCCGGTTATAAAAATGCGTGTCGATAATCATACGTTCTGGAATAGTCTTTTAAAAATGGTGTAGCAGTGTTATTGTTGTGGATTCCGGGATGGAATCCGGTCTCAAATGAATGACAAACGCAGGAATGAAATATAGCAAATAAATATATTGACGTAATAATACAATTGGTAATACGGTTAGTAGATCCAGAAATGCGGTTAGTAGCAATAATAATACATATACAGTCTGGGAAATTCAGTATCGAAGTATGACTTTCTTCTGAGTCTTCGTGCTCGCAACTGTGACTCCTACAAAGCGGTTACTCTCACTCACTGACTCCCTCACTGTATCACATCCGGGTATTCACCGGCAGCAGTACAAGTACACATTGGGCAAGTCCACTTGTATAAAAAGGGGTGGACCCCTTAACAGTTGTGTTTTTTTTTCATAATATTGTTTATAAACGCCTGATAATTATGCATCAACCGATTAAATGGGAAAATAATTTCAGTACTAAGTTGTTTCTTCACTTTCGCATCTCGCTTTCAGTACAATCATTCGGCTTTGCTTACCTGTCAGTTTTGACCTTCAAATATTAAACTCGATTTAAACTGAGTTTCTATCTCATTGAACCAGGTTATTTTATTGTTCTCCTTCTTTGATAATGATTTTCTCAGATTTTTTCATTCTCAGTATCCCCTTGAGTTATACTGGTTTTCTTGTCTTGGGTGTAATTATTTTTTTAATATATGGAAGTAAAGAAATGAAAATAGAACTAAAACAAAATCTACGTTTTATTTTTACAACCTAAAAGGATTTCTTTTTGTGAGACATCTTCTTTCAGGACGTCGGCCATCATGGCTCTCCTCCTTTCTCTGTCAGCTTCGAAAATATTCTTACGCCGTTTATCTTCGAAAAAAAATTCTCCTGGACTTTGTAATGTTTAGTTTTCTAAACAAATGTTTCTAAACAAATGTTTCTAATCAAATGTTTAAACCTGTTGAGAAATCTGTAGAAACAGGGATTTTAATATTTTTTTTCTTTACATGCACTGCTGGTGCAGTTAATTTTGAATGGTTAATTTGTTCTATTACACCAATC